TTTACCTTTTCTAGACCGTTTTAGTGATTAAAATATTAAGGGAAATTTAAGACATCATGAATGGAAGTGCTAAACATGCTTGAGCCTCAAACAAGGCTGTCCTGAATATATTCCATCAAAACCCACCAAAATACCACATATTACATTTTTTTATGAAATCTGGTGAATGGACAAAAAATAAACGCAGCCTACTTCAACTTCTCAAAATGTAACTTTGATAAGCAGCTAGCATTAAGCACAAACGTCTCAGAATTAGTTAAATCAGACCTGAGCTTCAGTCCAACCCACACAGCGAAGTCAGTTCACCCATGAGGGCTGAGGACTGAGAAGGGTAATGATCTTTTTCAGGCTCTTCACCTCACAGAATTCAGCAGCCATACTTGGTTTCAGGGGTCCTTTTCAACTGCAGCTAGTGAAGAAGGGATGTTATTTGTTTTCACATAGGATATGGGACTCTCTCTCATCCTTATGTTAAACTAGGCCCTGGATGACTAACCCTACAGCTGACACAAACAGATGTTTTTATTTGTTTGAACTATTAGGTCAAAGGGCTAATGAGCTCATGAAAATTCCTACAAGAGCTATCAAATGAGGCATGATTTTAGCGGATTTTCACTTCCTATCTATATGATACAAAATAATTTAAGAAATATTCTGACTTTACAAATCTTTCATTTCCATCCTAGTCTTGGCAAAAGGCAGAGTTAAAAATAATGAAATTGAAAAAGCATACCTCAGTAGCTGAATCAGCAGCTCCAGCCTGGCTCAGCACTGCTGTACTTCCATCAGCTGTTAAAACTTGTGTTATGAGAGTCTCTTCTACTCAAACAATGTTTGATAGGGTAACATTGAATTGTCTCAGTAAGTTTTTATTTTCCTTACAGTATTTGCTTTTGCTCAACTTTTGTAGCACTTGTTTTTGTATATGTACTCTGCCATATCACTTTATTTAAAAACAACTACTAATCATATAAGCATGTCTCTCAGTCTGACATCATGGAATTATTGTATGAAGATTACCCCAATTTCTGTTCCACCAATGAACTTCCATATCTTTCAGATACATTTCCAGAATAACAACATCTTGCTGTGTAAATACATCAGCCAATTTTTGGAAGTTTCTACTTTATATATGTGTGTGTAAAGGTGTAACTACATATAAGTTAGCAATGATTATACAGTAATATTTGTTTTCATCTAGGAGTAAATAAATTTATCTTAAGGATTCCATATCAGATAATATGCCATACTCCCAACCTGGCTACTACTCAAGAAATTCAGGCTTAGAAACTCAATTCTACACAGTGTTTATTTTCCTTTTTTTTTTTTTTCCTTGATAGTGGAAGGCATGTATAAATCACAAACAGTACAAGTTCCTCACGTCAGCAGTTGTCCACCTGAATGGGTCAACTTCTGTGTATAGACACTGTATTTTTAGTATAAAGTCAAGATAATATGGCAGTTAACTAATACTTTCAACTACAGCATACAAACTTTCGTAATATAAATTAATTGCCATTACAAAAAGGCAATGTATTAACTAATACGGTACAAAAATCTGCAACTTCTATAAATATAATGAAATGCAAGAAGTTAAATGAAACAATACATCACAGATTTTTGTATAGCGCATTTGAAGTGGCAACCTAAGATACACGTGGAGCATTATACAGCAAGAAAGAATATCAAAACCCACTAAGATTTAACTTTTTTTTCCATACAAATGCTAGAAGTACAAGTACAGGACACAACATGGAAGCAGTAAGATTACTAGCTCAGAGCGGGCAGACAAAGAGGTCTTACTGACAAGTTGTAAAGCATTAGGCAGCAGACAGAAGCTTGTCAAAACCAGCTGTTGTTGGATACTGATTGATAATGTTTTCATTCTGACGGCTCAGACACTGCAGACAGCCACAGGTCTGAGAAGAAGCCCAATGTGGGCACATACGCATACACACACATACACACACAAAGTAATTTAACAGATGGCTAGAGAACATAAAAGCACAGTATCTTTCTTTAAAAAGATAGTGTTCACTCCTTAATGAACTTGCATGGGAAGTAGAGCCTAGTGCCCAAGTTTATTTCACCTAAATGATGAACACATGTGAAAAGACCTAAAAAAAAAAAAATGAAAAAGAAAAGAAAGAAAGAAAAAATTGAGATTGGCCATCTGAGTACAAACTGCATTGTGCTTACATATTCTACCATAGCCAGAGCATTCAACAACACTTTAGAGAAGGAAGTGTGACATGAGCTGCTATGGACATTTTTAATTCCTCCATAAAGAGGTGAAGGTTTATAGACATTAAAAAGCTACACATCCATTAAGTCCATCCACAACACAAAACCACAGAAGAACTACATTCAAAGTAAAGTTAAGCGTTGGTCTTTGCCATAAGCACTTATGAGGTATTGTTTCAACTTGTGGTAAGGAATGATCAGATCACTGTTTTAGTAAGAACAAGCATATTCAAAATCATTCTGAAAAAAAATCACTGCCCTACACAGTTGGCATTTTCCAAAAGAAAAAGCTTTTAGCATCAAAAGGTCCTAGTCTTAGTGGCCATGGGCATATGCCAAAGCCATATTATGAGTGACTACTTGGACCTTTTGTAGGTCAGCCATGTAGCACTGTCAAACAGTGCATAACTGGGAAATCACGAACAAAGTGTAACATGGAAATTCTAAAGTTTTTGGACCAGACTCACTGATGGTTCATGTAAGTAGGTTTTAGGAATGGAATACAGTTGGGCTTATTTAATAACTTTAATATGTGAAAGAAAGGGGAAAAACATAAAAAATATAAAAAATTTATCTCACATCTTATAACTAATGCTCAGTGAAAAAGTAGTAAAAGCTCTGAACCTCCCTTTTTGCCTCCCCAGACTGCTTGCCTTCTATGGGAAATATTTATCTCACTCCTCCTCACCACTTATTATTTATCATTGTCCCTAAACAGGACAGAAATCTGGGGACCTTGTGGAAATCCAGAGACTGCAGCCTCTAAGCTTACATCAGCTGAGAGATTTTTAAGATGTAAACTATGTCCAGTTCCTCTTTAAATCCAGGGAAAGGAGCCTCCTCAACCCACACAAGAAAAACTGATGGGCAGCTGGGGCCTGTCTAAACTGCACAGAGAGAACCAAAACAACATTGGGCTCCTCTCTGTGTTTTAAAATGAACAAATTCCAGTTCTTGGATGTATTGCCAAGAGTATTAGGAGTGAGGCAATTTGACCTGGCAGGAAAGAGAAGAAAAACAAAGCAAGAAGAGATGTCGTTTAGGACTCCTACCTATACTATCACAAAATTAAACATGGTGCTTACTAGTTTTCCCAGCTTCTTTATGATAATAGGAAGGAAGTTAAAACAGTGATCATCAGACCATGAACTTGGGCAGAAATAATTGAGGGAGCAATGCAAGAAATCCATGGAAATTGAAAAGTAAACAAAAAAGCTATTAAAAATATTTTGTTTAACAAACTATAATTACAAGTAATAGAGAAATAGCTTTTATAAGCCTTTAAAAGCTGATCCTTGCTATTTTCTTATCCCCAATAAAGTAGTGAGAAACAACAATAAACTTCAAACTTGAAAAATAAATGCTCAGAGTCACAAGATATGTTGCTTAAAGCCCTAAAAAAAAAAAGAGTAAAGAGTTTGAAAAGACAAGCAGATTCGATGAGGAACCACTGACACATCACTACAATTTGTGTTTGCAGTTACTCATGCATGAGGGTAGCTGAACGCACAAGGCACAACGCACAAGGTGTGCACCAGCCCAGGGACTGATCTGCACATACCCTGTTGTCACTGACTTAGTGCTGAAACAGTGACCTGGCACGTTTCGTTAATGGACAAAATCGGTTTATAAGGTTTTAAAAAATCAACAGAAGGCAGCCAAACCCCTACAAACTACAAAGGGGAAAACTTGGAAAGAGGAAATATGCACTGTTTTTCTGGAACCAAATCGAATTTTTCCAAATGTATTACAAATGTTCTTTCCAGTGAATACTTTTTTTGTCTTCTAAGTAACATTTAGCCCAGAAGTTTGAAAGAATAAGTTATAATCCCTTGAAAAGAGAAGTTTATAGTACAAACATTGGAAGACCCTTAATTGTGGTATAGATGCCTTGGCAATGTTACGATAACAGTAGTACTCTATGAGTGAGTGATAAAGGAACCAATCCTTATTTAAAATCAGTCACATTTCTAACTAGTAATAAAGCCTTCACAGTTGAATTAACACTTATTTGCTTTGCTTCTCTAATAAAAAACTGCCTTCAATGAAAATTATTACTTTATTAATCTTTTGCATATTTTCTAAAAATATTGTTACCATCTATTTATTTCACTTGTTTTTCCCCAAATGCTGTTATCCCCATGTATCTGTTTGCTAATTTACCTTTGAGGAAACTTCCATTAAAATAACACTTCTGCCTTTTAAAAGGTTATGCTGTGACTTCAGAAGAGGAATCAAGTAACTTGTCAACTCTGTTTTCATTTAGTAAAACTCCACGACTAACCTCTGCATTAACATGAAACTGCTTGCCTTTAAGGTATCCCATTAAGCTTCTCAGTGGCTGTGCTTTCTGTACTGCAGGGTCAATAAACAAAGTAATTTGTTTCAAAACCTTAAGACATAAGTTATTTTTCAGAAACCAAGGTAGCAGGTAGAATTGCTCCTCCAGAGATGATGTTATTTCTGTGTGTGTAATATTTCCTACCAATGATGATCACAACACAAGAAAGCAACATGCAGTGTGCAGAAATAGTGGTAAACAAAGAGGAGCTTCCTATATCAGTAGTGTAGACAACTTTACTGGAAATAGTTGTGTACCTGATTCACAGAATATTTATGTTAACAAAAGGACATTCTGCACAAAATGTGTATGAGCAACATATCACAGCATACTCTTGATACCACACCATAATTAAGCTGTGAGGAGAATATGCAGGTACAATAATGCCTGGAGAACCACTCTTCCCTCCTGCATTTCACATTCTTGAAGGTTCGAAGTCTCTCTCTTCTAGCAAGTTTATTAGAAGGGAGAAGCTGTCTTTTAATGCCTCCATATCATCCAAGGAGCAGGGTTTAAGAATCCAGCGCTTTCCACGTGCAAGTGGCTCAAGTTCAAAATATTTTTTTATCTGTTAAAAAAAAAAAAGAGATCAATGTATTAATATTATATTGACAGCTCTCTCATTCTTAGCTAAAAACCTAAACCAAAACAAAACATCAAAAAAAGTTATATAAAAAGATTAGGATACTAATTTTTAGAATCTTATACACAGCTGTTCTTAAAATATAGGTTATATGATGTGACCTGAAAGTGTTTTCTTTAGGGGTGAGTGACCTGCTTGGGAGCTACCATTCTACCCATACATTTAACAGCATGGGAGGTCTGCGGGAGACTTACACAGACTTAAAGCAAAGAGCAAAGCACAAAACCTAAGTGTCCAAAAGCACAGCCAAATCAGCAAAAGTAACTAAGAAATCCATTAGGTTTGTATTTAATGTTGAAACTGTACATTGCATCATACTTTTGTTGGTAAACATTTAAGATGCAGAATTTGTCATCAGACTACTCTTAACTCCACAAATGAACTGTCAAAAATGTACAAACTCTAAACATTCCAGTGAAGGTGAGCTATAGCAGAGAGTTTCTTAAAAACCTTGAGAACCCTAGGAAAAAACAAATCTTCCAAAAATTTTGTTTTCCTAAAAATAAAAATTAGAAAACTAGCACACTAATTTGATTACGATAGTAATAAGTATTATATGTGAGACATGATGGCTTTCTACAATGATCTTACTTCAAAATCCAGCACATTTTAGCAGGCTTCAGCTACTTGCTAACAATGCATAATAATGCCTATAAAGGAAATCTTTTAATGAAAGTAATTCCATTTTTACATGTGCAGCCACTGTGCAGCAAGAAGGTATGAGAATATGATGTAATATAAAATTGCAAGTTTTAAACTGTCTATAAGCCATGACAAAATAACAGAGGAAGATGCAGTTCCTTGGAAATACCAGTCATCACTAATGCTGATTACACCAACTGCCAAAGCAGAAACAGAGACCCACAGAAAGACAGAAATAAAGTTTTTCATTTAGTAGTACTCTCGAGTAATTTTTAAAAATAGGAAGTGCAATCTCAAAGAATATTTTTTATGCCTCTTAGAAGAATATAGTGGTCTAAAGGTGATTTGGTCCACACATTACTGTTTCCATCAAAATCTTAGTCTTTGATAGTATTTGATCCAATACTATTTGATCCACAAGTCTACTCATATTTGATTTGTCAAAATGGACGTTTAGGTTTTTCATCCAAACTGATACCTACCAGTACTTGCTATTGTCAATATGCCAACAGAAATATTTAGTCCTGACTTAGTTTGCACATTTCTATTCCTTGTAATTATTGCCAAATGTCTTAATTTCATCATAGACTGTGCCAGAAGCATTCAGGACAACAGGAACAGCTTCTTGTATTGCGGTAGGCAGCAGAAGCCCTAGACAGGCAACTGGAGCCACACTCTGTGAGGCTCTGTGTGCACAGCAGAGTGAAGAAAGAAAGGGAAAAAAAAGGCTTCCAAAGCCCAAACAAGCTGCAACATCTCTATGCAGCTCTCACAGTTCTATACAGCAGTTTTGTTTATCTAGTAACGTAGTCTAACAGAAGAAACTGACTGCAGTTGTATCAACTCACACGCTGTGACAATGTGGCAGGAAGTTTCTTCCTTTGTAGAAAGGAATTTTGAGCTGAGTATTTATTAACAAATGTCAGAAAAAAACTCCATGGTATTGAGATGAGAACCGCTTCAACTAAGATACAGGTGAAACATCTTAAAAATCTATTTCTAGAAAAGCAGAACTGAATTGATGGCAATCTGCAAACATCTGAAAACGAACTGCGACAGTTGACATTCACTTTCCCTCAAACAAATTTCAGAAAACATAAAAGCTGGGATAAAGGGGACTTCAACAAAAAGCATTTTAATACTAGCACATTGATTTTTTAGCATTGCTATCACAGTGTCATATTAGTACCTGATATGTTAGCATGGTTACATGTAATCAGAATCTAAATACTAACCTCCATAAGGGATATACTGCAATGTCTCCAGCAGCTGAAGTGACACCAAATCAAATCTACCCCCATTGATATATACAATTAATGGCACCAATCACAGTCCTGGAGAAGCAGGGTAAGAAAGCTCTCTTGCCTGTTTCAGTAACAGCATCTTGGACTGCTAAGTAAGGCGAGGAAGTTAAGCCACACAGAAGCACAACAAAGCAAGGTGTCAGCGCAGCTAGCTGATGGAGCAGCCTGCTGGTGTTAAGCTGACAAATATGGCTGAGTAATTTGAGATGTTTCAGACCTACAACACAGAGGGTGTCCACCACACCCCCTCTACTGGAAGACTATTGACATCAGCTCCTTGAGCTCACCAAAGTCTGTCTGCTATCTTATTTACATAGCTTTTTGAATAAAGGCTACACCATGTGAAGAAATGATTAGGAAAAGGTCATTACATTGTAAGTAGAGTACTTGGGTTTAGAAGCATTAAGTATCTGGAAAGACTTACATAAGGAAATGATGGCAGTAAGCAGAGTAGCACAGAGTCTTGTGCGTTTGTGGGCAAATAGGACACTGTGTACTGAGGTACCCTCTAGCTAAGACAAATACAGTGACTTGGAACTATATTTCAATGACTGCAGATGCCAAGACAGAATTTCTGTTTCAGCAGTGACACAGCATCAGCTGATTTAGGGAAACAAATTTTGCAGATCAAATATTTATTTGGATTAAGTGTTGATAAACATTTATTTTTTCCTATTTCTGGGCGTATAATAGGAATTTAACAAAATCATCAATGTGCCGTCATAATTTTTGACACCTAAGGATCAGTTCAGATTACCTGCATTAACACACCCTAGATGAATGATGAAATTGAAGCAATTGAGACGGGCAATTTTGGTAATGGCAAGAAAGCACAACTGCTTAGATTCATGTAAGTAACCGCTATTTTGTTCATACCTTCAAAGAAAAAAAGATATGCTACATGACTTGTCTCTAATCCAAATACAGAAAAATAACACTAATTCGCTTATAAACAACAACTTTGAAACTTCCACAAAGAAGTTAGCCGACACAAATATTTTCCAGTTTACTATAATTTTCCTCCCTTTAACTCAGAAGATGTCATTCAGTTCTAAAAACGAGTAAGTTTTTTAGACTTAAAAAGGAACCCTTTTTTACATGCAAAACTACATGAAAATAGACTAACAGTCAGACGTCCAATTATGCATTTGAGTTTTCCGCTGGAACACTATCAGCTCTCCATCTGCCTTCTACCCTCATGACCATCATTCATTCTCATTCCCTACCAGATTTCCTAAGAGGAGGTACCAGAATCCAATCAACCACATATCCAAAAGAAGATGAAAAATCTCTGAATATGCACTCACCTAGACAGTTCTTGTATAATCAGATAATCAGCAGTAACTATTTTACAGCTCCCTTCAATCGCACTAGAACAAAAGGGGTGAGTTCCTAAGAGAAGCTCTTTTGTCTTTCCCTCTTGCATAAACGATGAAAAGCTTTCTGCCTTTTCATGGATGCCAAACCAAAATATAAAGACTTGGACATGCTTGCATGTCCGACATGTTAGAAGGGCATTTACTTACTAGCTTCGCATTTTTATTTGGGATCGCTGAATTTTTAGGATATAAACTGAGAAGAAAACACAGTAATTTAGATCAATATAATTTTAAGACTACTACTATTTTACAGGATCTCACTGTATGTCTTGACTCCACATGGAGGCCTTGTTTTATAGAGATGCTGACGTTGTATTTATGCCACATTCTGAAGTCAAGAAAGTCTAACAATACACGTTTGCAATTACTCCCACTCTTCCCACACTCCACCTTCTAAGTCATATTCTACTGGCACAATACACTAAGCATATGGTTATCAAATGTTGCTTAACCTACGTGCTAGAAAAGTCAAGACACAATAAAAGGACTGGTGCCCAGAACCTCAGCTGGTGTAAATTAGCACAGCAGTGTGGAACTGATATTACTAAATTGATGTACGTAAGCTGAGGAACCAGGCCCTGTTGAAAGCTTTTATGTTCTATTACTGAATCTCATCTAGCCAGTTCACAACACATACGAACACAAGATGTATAAGAAAACTTGGATACTGTAATATGTGAATACTGAATTATTTCTATCTGTTACTAAACATGAAAAAAATGTTGAGTATTATTTTTCATTGCAATTGAAAATTTTAATACCAAATTGCACCAACACAAAAAGACTTCCAAACCACTCTGATTAATCTGTTGCAAAAAACCCACAAAACTCCTGTAGTCACTTATATTACCAGACTGTATTTGGAGAATTTAATGGATACAATATTTTTTCATCCATTGCTGTTTTCCTTAACAATGTTACTGGGATAAAAAATTTGTAACACCACATATGTAATCAAAGACTGCACAGTCATGTCAATGTCACCAGTAGTCTGCATTTTTCAAAGATGTTCATAGGATCAAGCAAGAGGGTGACTAGTGGAGGAATGAATCAAACTAAAATTACCTAATTTGCCCAATCTACGTATTAACCACAAGAAATAGCTCATTCATTTATCACAAATCTCCATCGACATGAAATGCAGTAATAATGGGAGACCAGGGCTCCCTATATGCACACTATGAAAGTTTCATTGAGCTGTGATGCTGAGATTACCTTTTCAGACATCACAAACATCAGCCTTTTGGAGCAACTGTTTAGGAGATGCAGGGAAGAGAGGAAATTTTGATTGCTGAGTCCATGAACAACAAAGGAGCTGCCTACAACAGTGACCAAAGCATGTGCAAATTCAGTATCTTTGGAGAAGAAAAAGCCAAAAGTGCATCACAGAGCATTAAGTTTTAAAAAGGGAAACTACAGAAAATGAGTAACTTAAAGAAAATTAACTGTGCAGCTAAAAAGGTAAAATGCTTGCAGGTGGCATAGAAAAAAAATACCATAATTAGAGGCTCAGGGTATATTTATACTGCTACAGAAGACTTTAAAAGAAATAAAAAAAGCTTTCAGCATTTGCAATAAGGAAAAGGATGGTATTAGAGGT